CTTTCAAAGCTTTCAGCACCACCTTCCACACCTTGCCCTGGTGGTCTGCCTTGCTAGGCGACTTTCTGCCTAACTGTGCCCAGTATTTCAGCATTCGCAAAGTGACATCCGGCCCATCGATGTTGGAGCTGCGAGTTTTTGTGCAGCTGGCAGTTTCTCCTTCATGCTTGGGATGCTTGCACGTCATCTGAAATCCGGTCTTTGTCGGAGTAATTCTGCACTGGCCATACATGACAGCAACATCGGACCGTCTTGTAGCACCCTTTGCCCTTGGCTTGGCTTTGCCCGCAGCCCGCCTTGCTGCTGGCTCAGAACCACTATCAGAGCCCGAGCTTGAGGACGACGACGAAGGTTCGGCCTCGCTGCTAGAAGATGAAGAAGAAGAGGAAGACGAGCTCGAGGCCGCTTTGCCAGCTGCCCCGGCCTCATCCTGGATGTCGTCCCCACACTCAGCGACAGCATCTTTCTCTCTAGCATCAAGCTCAGCGTCGAGTTGCTCCAGTGCCTCGGCCTCGTCACCCACGGCCGCCTCGGCCTCGTGCACTTCCGCCTCGGCCTCATCTTGGCATTCGAAGTCGGCAGCGTCTTCCAATTGAAGGCCCTTTTTTGCATGGCTACGCTTAACCCGTTTCCTGGGTTCAGGCCGGGGAACCAGAGCAGCCTCGCTCACCCAGACATCCTCGTCCTCCATGAACATGATGGCAGCCTGTCGCCGCTGAGGCTGCTTGCGCTCAGGCTTCCCCAAAAGCTTTGCATAGACGGCTGTGGTCTGCAAGTGTGGCACAGGCTGGTCAAGCTGATCTGCAGTGAGCAAGCAGATGAGATACTCTCGGCACAGGGTCACCTGACTAGCAAGATAATACCATATCTTCGGAGAGCTTCCATGCGTATAACTGGCTCCATCTGCCAAAGACTTCCTAGATTCAACGCTCTGATGCTCCCAGCCCTTCTCTCGGAGCGAAAGAAGCAGCTCTATGATTTCCATTTCCTCAAAGGGCACATCTCGAGCTTTGAAAACCCTGTCGTTGCTCTGCAAAGCAGTCGACACCTGAACATGCCGATGGCCCTGCTGCGTCAAAACCCAGCCACCTTCCACGTCTCGAGTTGCAAGGCCCAGGCTTTCCAGCTTCTGCAAAAGATCTGATTTGCCACTGTGCAAAGGATCGTTACTTGCAACAACATACGGACCAGCTGCAAGCAGATCGTGCAGCAAAGACGTTCGAATCGCCTCTTGGTCTTCAAGGTTGCTGAGGGCAGTGCCATCATCATCTGGCAACCTCATGTGGTAGAACAAATCACTGGTGTGGTCCCATCTACGCATTCGCAACAAGCTGTCCAAAGGTAGAGCCTCCAAGCTGAGAACAACTGGAGTTGCAGCGGCATCAGCGGCATCTGCATCCATCGATTGCAGGCTGACAGGGCTGGAATCCACAAACACACGGTACTGATCATGACTTGTCTTCTTGAAAGAGTTCACCCTCAGAAAGGAAACGGCCCAATCAGACTTCTGCATGCCGGTGCTTCTGGGCACGCGAACATCTCCAACGGCCTTTCGCACGACCTGCAAAAACACATGTCCTGCAAGAGTGAAGGAATTCCAGTCCAAGACAGGCTCCGGATCTTCTGGCAAATGACTTTGCGCAGTCCAACGCAAACTGCTCAGAGCGGCTTCTGAAAACGGCATGGAGAACACAGCATCACAAGCAGACCCCCCGTGCGCATCTTCCAAGAGAGGTGCTATGCTGAGCAAGGCGTATTTCTTCAAGATCTCATCCGAGGCAGCACTGTGACTAAGTTGGCTGCCATGCTCAAGATGCAGTAGCAGCGCTGCCTCCGCAGCGGAGCCACACGCAAGCTGTCCAGCCTGCGCTTACCCGTCGACCCACCTGTGAAGAACTGCATGAAGCTTGAGACCCGGGATCTGCAGATGCTGCTGGTGCCGGTGCTTCCGCAGACGGAGCAGCACTGGCAGCACCTCCACCTCCACCGCCGGCCCCATCGGAGGCCCCACCTGCCCCACCCAGACCCGATCCTGGAGGACCAAGCACCGCTGGCTGCCCTGAACCGGAGCCGTCCGACATATCCGGCCGCGGCAAAGGTAGCAAGGGATTGTCGGGAGGTCGTGGGGGTGCAACATCTGGCCAGGACTGCTCTCTCTGGTACATGGTTCGTGGATCGGCATGGTAGACTATTTTCATGTGCATTGGATCTCGATAATGGGCAATATGGGCTGTGGACGGATGGTTCTGCAAGCCCAAAGCACTGAGAGCCCTCGCGGGACTGTGCACTGAATCATAAAACGAAGCCAGTTTCATCAGCATCTGTGGATTGTCGGCTGTGGCACTTCGCAGATAGTTCATTCTCCGACCCAAGCTTACATAGGCTGGAGTGTGATTCCGGGCCAGGGCGATCTTTTTGTGTATCTGCAGGGGTTGATGTGAACCAGCATGAAGCTCGAAATCATGTCAGCAGCATAAGAACTTAATGTGATTTTGAAACCCGGCCTGGACCTCGCACATACTCTGTCCTTCTAGTTCTGACATTCCCCTATCCTCACCACCCTTCTTCTTGCTTGCTCCCTCCCCTTCTTATTGCGCACACCTTGACCATTGAAAACCGTGCTTTCAACCGTACAGTACACCCAAACCACGACTGCCAATTGCACCATGCAAAACCGAAACACTTTCCGAGCCCGCCTGCGCATGGTCGCCTTCCACTGCTCGCTCTGCGGTCGGGCAATATCGCAGCTTGCCCAAGAAATGCAAAAGGTCCGGCAAGCCTTCAATGTCAGCACCCTCCAAGTACTGCTCTGCTTGCTCCCTCACTGGTGACTGCTGTAACTCGGCCAGCAGTTGGGAACTTCGTGGCATGTCAAGGCACCTCCTGAGAAATCGTTTGGAGACCGCCGGTAACAAATGGGCACACCCGAAGACACAGTAGGGCGGGTGCCTCCAATGATCCAGCCTCAGGTTGAGGACAAACACAAGGTGCGCACGTCCACGCTCAAACTCCTGCAGGATGGTTGCACGAGATGCTGGGCTGATGTCTCTGGGGAGATTGCTCAAAAGCTCTGCAGCACTGGTGTTGTTCAATTCCCGCACAAGGTTGTGAAACTCCAGGGCTGCCAGCTCCGGGGCCCTGCAACCTCTCAAAGGACAGTGGGCCCAGACATCCTTTACCTTTGCAGGAAAGTCTTTGTGGGGAAGTTTGCCATGGCATGGACAAGTTTCTGCCCAATGCAAACACGACTTGATTACCTGGGCTAGGTAACGCAACATCCTCAAAGTGGCCCAGAACTCTGGAGACGTTAGTGCAGAATCCACGATAGCAAGATCCACACCATACCCACCCTCGTCGTTTTGGTTGGCCCGCTGGTTCCCATATCTGTTCAAGTTCCAACCATACCGAAGACTAGCTTCAATCTGCAACAGCTCGACAACACAGTGTGCAAGGCTGCCCCACCGACTTGGATTGAGTTTGGCTTGGAAGGACTTGATTTCAGCTTGAAGGTGCCGGCCTATCCTGCCTGAAAAGCAAGATTCCAGGAGTCGCTACTTGGACTCTCTGCGGCATAAGAATTTGGAAACATGCGTCAGCTGCTTCACAGTGGCATCGAACGTCAACATGGATCTGCCCAAGTCAACAGTGGAATTGTGTATGATGTGCATAAGCCCTGCAACACCCACGGAGTTCCTGAAATCGATCGTAGCTTCAAGATCTGCCTGGTTTGCGAGGGGCGGTGCCAAGTCATGCTCATCCCCACCCTCGGCCTGATACGTCACCCAAGGCAGAATGTTCCTGACCAGTACAGGAGGCACCTTGTGCAGTCCAATCTCGGCACCTTGATCCGTGGTAAATGAAAAGATGGAGTCTGCAAATTTCGCGAGGCCCAAGGCACTTCCTGTCTCCAAGAAAAAGCAATGAGCAGCAGCATGAAACTTATGGTACAACTTCGCATGTCCACTTCCCAGCACAACCGCGGGGAGCAAATGTGTGTCCATGCAACAGTCCATCTCTGCCTGCAGCTCGACCTCTCTCAAAGCTGTCCGTGCCAAAACGTCATCGTCCGGAGCATCGAGATAACTGCTCCATAGGTTCTGTGACTCCAAGGCATGGAGAAACATATCTTTGCAATTCGATCTCAACATGGATGAAACTCTGATGAGCTCAAAGTCGTAATGACCCTGAACTGACGAATCCACCATGACATATCTCACAACACCGCCTTCTTCATCAGCCCTTGCATTCACAGAACGCCGGTGCAGCATCAATGCAACATCGACACTGAGCCTTGCTCGGGATACCTTGGTGGCACTAGGCACCCGCAGGCCCAAACCATGAGCATCACCATTAACAGTTGCCAACACAGCTTCTGCAAACACCTTGGGAAGCGCAATTTCCACTGCCTTGAGCAGGACCTGCTTCAAGTCTGCAACATCTCTCAAGTGACTGCCCATCAACATACATTGTATAATGTACGTAGCTTGAAAAGGTAGTCGCGGTGTGCAAACCCGGCCTTGCGACTGCAGCACCCTGCTGTTCAAATGATTGACATCAAGCTCATCGCGCATACGCTGCATCATGTACGCGGCCCGATAGCATGAATCTAGCAAAGAAGCATCCTGCTCAGAGTTCGGGTTGAGTCGCAAAGCCATCTGCCTAATCGTGTCAGCAATTTCTTCAGCCATACTTGCAGACAATCGTGGTTCTGCGAAATTCTGCACCTGCCGTGGCACAACAAACTGATTGGCCAAGTCGGGAAGATGAGACCAGCCAATGACTCTGGATCTGTGACGAACACCCACTGAAAACAAGTGCTCCGGGGAAGGATCTGGCAAGGCAAAATAGGACCAATGTTTTCTCGCAAGAAAAAAACTATGAGCTCCGGGAAGACGCACAACCAAGTGACAATCAGAATCAACCCATTCCGGCAGAGGAACCCCAAAATCTTGCGACAGTTGCTTTACAAGATCTTCAGGAGAAAAAAGATCCAACTTTGAGAAGAACGACTTCAGCTTGCGACGGTCTGTGACTGGCAGTTCCGTGGGCTTTGCGAAAGGCAGGACCTGCTCCACCTTGAAGTAGTAAAGCCCTCCCGCGTGCAAACAATCTGTGCCGAACACTGCTTGCCAGAAATTATACTGATCCCGCTGACCCTGGTCCAGGACTGCTAAAGCGTGGTAGCGAAAACCAACATCCAATAACGCGACACCCACAATTTGATCATGCTTCAGGTCATGTGCCCAGGGATCCTGTCGGAACAAGGCTGCTTCAGCGTCACTCATGCATTGCAAAGAGCAGCCATTCCAATCCGTAGAATACCGGCCCGAGAGGGAATTGCCCCATGACTGTTTCTGGCCGTGCGTTGCCAGCCAGCAACAAAAGACCATCAAGAAACGCATGTCCTGTTCCCACAAACACAAACTGGTTGCTGCCTGGCATAGGGGGTCCAAATTGGGGGGGGCTTGTGTATCTTGAGTGTGCTGGCCTTCTGAACTTCTGGGGCCTTGTGGGGTTTACCCGCGAAATTCGGGCACCTACTCGCGATGCCTGTCCTGTTACTATTGCACCGTTGCATGGTAACGTCGTAACTTCATACACTACACGATGTTGTCTGCAACATTCAGGCTCAATTTTGCATTGCTTCTTGTGCAACAAGTGGGCAGCGGCAATGCCCCAAAGCCGTCCGATCAAAAAAACTCTCGCAAAAAAAAACATGCAGTAACGCAATGACAGGAGTCTGGAGTCATGCAGTGGACTTCAGTGGAACCTTCAACATCCGGCAGGCTCGCAAGCAGCCATGGCATTCGGAATTCTGAGTGTGCCCTGGGAATCTCCCATCATGCCAACCCCGCGATTCTCCGTCGGACCTTTCAAACTTGATTTGTATCAGAAAAATCGCAAGCCTTCTTGAACTTCGAATTTTGACAGCAAGTCCAAGGGCCAAGGACTCCTGGGACCCAAGACATGGAAAGTACCTAGCTCAAAATTGATGGCTAGCTTCATCGGAAACATCTGATTGATCACTTCTTCCTTCCCCCGCCCCCTAGTTGCCGTTGGAATCTGAAATTTTGCCCCTCGGAAATCCTGATAATATCCTTGCTCCCAGCACAAACCTAAATCCAAAGCCAAAGCGCCCTAAAGTTACCAAAGTAGTCTAATCCTGCTGGGCCTGCCTTGGCATTTCCTTCTGCAGCCATTTTGCGGCATGTGAACATTCGAAAAGGCAACAAGAATAACTTTATTGGCTGGGACTGAAATAGAGCAGACTAGAAAGCTGTGCACTAGACACTGACCGAAGGACCGAAGGAAAACACGTTTGCAATAACTGCATAGATTTCAAACAATACAGCACATTTTCTCGCCCACATCATCGAACACAAGGAAACTAGACAAAGCAAACTCAGATTTAGAAGCCCAACCTTCGACTCGCAACAAAGGGCAGTCGCAAATCGTAAAGGCGAGGCAGAAGTGCCCCCGTCCCGGCCTGTCCCGTTAGTCTCTGACATGTTTTCCAAAAGAAAGAGGCAAAGAGGTGGACCATCTATGTTATGCACTTTTATGCACTGCTGCACTATGCACCGAAAGCCGAAATTGGTTTTCCCAATTTTTTCTGACGATGCTACATCACTTTTTTCCAGAGAGACACAGACTCGTGACTTCGTCAATGTTCTTTCAGGCTACTCGGCAGCTCAACAAAAGTTTTCCGTGTGCCACAGGATTTGGCACCTGTTCTTTACAAGTTACACGAGTTTCAAGCATGCTTAGGGGGAGCTTCAGCGCACGAACCATGAAGCATGATAGCCACGCACTGCCCTCTTCCCTCACATAGCAGTTGGTGTTTGCTGAGCTTGGCATCGCTTTTGGACACGAAGCGGTGACCACAGTGGTGGGACCCCCAACACCGAACCCCCAAGAACGAAACAGGAAAGTTAGCGCTTGAAACCCCAAACATCCCAAAACCCTGGGGTTTGGGGAATAAGAAGAACCATAATAGTAAGGGCAGCAAAACTGCTCACAATCATGCGAGGACCCGTAAGAAGGATCCTTAGTACTGCATAGTTGTTCCTTGATTAGTTTCGGGGCATTGTCGGAGAAAGCCTGCATGCCAAAATGACCCCCCGCCCGCCAACCTACGCTTCTTTGAGCCCTAAATCCTAAACCCTCTCAACCCCTCAAACCCTAAACCCTCAAACCTTCAACCCTCAAACCCTAAACCCTAAACCGCCTAAACCCTAAACCCTACACTTTTCGGAACTGGCGTTTGCGGAGCTTGGTGCCACAGTTGGCTTCGGGTTCGGTTGTCTCCCAATTGGGGGGCGGGGGGGGGGGGGGGTGGGTGGCTTAAATAGGGTCTATT